GTTAGTAATTTGAATTATATGAGAAAATGTAAAAAGTTTGTTTTAATTATTTTTATTTTTATTTTTGTAATATTGAAAAATACCAAAAATATGTCATAATTTATTAATCATTTTAAATACTTTTATTTAGTATTGATTAATTAAACTATTAGTTAATCTGATTAAATATTAATATTTAAATTGATTAATAATTTTTGTCACCCGATTTATTTGTGACTTGTTTGCTCTCATGTTTTTGGGCTTGTTCTATATGTTCTTACACAATGTTTTGCCGTGTATTTCCCCTCTGTTTACTCACAATGCTTTGCCGTGATTGTTGCTGTGATTGTTTGTGGACTTTATTCGCGATGCTTTGTCGTGTATTTTTGTCTGTTTATACATGATGTTTTTCCATGTGTGTTGTACTTTCTATTTACTGACTGCATGATGGTTTTCCATGTGTTTTTGTTGACTTTTCATTGTCTGATACCATAATATCTTGCCATGTGTATTTTGTGATCTCTTGTCTGTTTGACTGTATATGATGTTATTGTCGTGTATTATGTCTGTGTTTGATGCTTTGCTGATTACATGATGGTTTTCCATGTTTCTGCTTCTTTTTATTCCTTGTTGACGTAATCCAAGGGAAAGGATTGTATGTTGACTTATTGTCATTATGCATGTCCTTTGTTTGTACTTTACATGTGTCTATTGTTCTTGGTTCTTAAAATCTATCAACTCGTAGTTCCATGAACTACTGACGCTCTGATTTCTCAAGTTCTGTTTGAGAATACGTAGGTACAAGGGCCTCAATCCTTGGCGAGCAACCTTTTCTTTTTTCACACTCATTTCCTTTTTACACCCTTTTTCATCATAGTTTCTGAACTACGATTGCTCGGACTTCCTATTATAGGATACGTAGACATAGGATTGCGAGATCCTAGCGACATGCCTTTTTCTTTTTCCACCTTTTCTTTTCTTTGCCCATCTTTATTCTTAGAAAACAATTTTAGCAAAAACATAAATATTTCAAGAGGTTCCTGTAGAGTACTACAAATGCTTAGGGTGCTAGTACATTCCCTTAGTATAACCAACCCCCGTACCTTTGATCTCTCTTTACTTAGCTTCAGGCCTTACTTTTTGCTTTGCATTTTTACTTAAGGTTTTTGTTCGATCTTTTCTCCCTTTCCCTTGGATAAAATAAATTTCCGGTGGTGATATCTTATTTTTTGCGAGCCAAGCTGATCCTATAGCTTTGGTACTCGATTCTCACTGCGACAGATTCGTTTAGACGAGTTTTGATCCAAGGCCGCTTTTGCACAATTTTTTAAAACGTATTTTTAAGAGAAAATTATTAAAAATTAGTGATCTATTCAACCCCCCTTCAAGATCAGTGTCATCGTCTAACAACTTTTAGCTTTTTTACCCTCACTGAAAGTGGTATCCGCAGACCATAACGTAACACTTGTTTCTGCTCCCCTGAGAATCTGACCAACGTCCCTGCGAAGGGTAATATGTCGGAGACACCAAGGCTCATTCCTCTTAATGCTTCCTAGCATAAAATATCTTTTGAACTTCCTAGTTCGACTAGTACTTGCCTCACATTCCAGTTTTATACTGTTACTTTGATCACCATTGAATCACCTTTCTGAGTTGCTATTCCTTCAACATCCTCTTTAAAGGAGGTGATTGCAACCTGATTCACTCCTCCTTCTGGAGATGACTTTTGCATGACATGCATTATCGTCCAAGAATATCTTTTTCGAGCCGAACTGGATTCTCCAACTCCTGCAAATCCTTCTTCCATAGTACTCACAATGTGGGTCCTATTACCTTCATGGATTTTCCCTATACTTTCATTTTTCCTTTGTATGGCATCATCCATGACGACACCGATTGCTACATAGTCTTGTGGCTCTAGTTTATAGCTGAGAGATATCACTGGTAGAGGGTTTTCTGAAGTTTGATCGCCCCAAACATAATCTGTCGGAGCCTAGGAATCGCCAGGTTCCCTTATTGCAAGTAATGAAGATACATTGTATGACGAGAATGAGTTACTTTGATTGGGAAATGATTTAGACATTTTGCAAATGGATTGCTGATGATATCAAAAGATTTTGTGTGGCCTGGGAAAGTTTTACGGAGGCCCCACGGTGGGCACCAAATGTTCTTGCTAAAACACTAAAAGGTTGACTTGTTTGCTATTTATCCCAAGAGAGAACATGGTTGAATGGTTTTGAGTGTCTGTTCTGTGTATGAGTACTGTGTATTAGTTGTCCCATTTGTCTTCCAGCACTCATTATTTATAGGTATTCTTTTACTGATACATCTTCCTAAAACGTCTATCGCCTCCAAAATTGTCTCCATATCGTCTGCCTCTTCAATGATTGTAACTCTCCATTCATAATGTGTTCTTTCATAATCATCCCTTGTGTCCTTTGGCGCGACATTCTATCCCTTTTACTATCTCTTCCTATATGACCGAGATCTAGCTCGGTTCGTCCTTGTTTCATCCGGTCACCCTTCACTAGAGTCCGACATGGAAGTAGGCAGGGGATTTATCGGATCATATCTCGGCCAGTAAACATGATTTTTGGAATGTACCAATATGTTTAACTATTTGTTTATATATATATATATATATATATATATATATATATATATATATATATATATATATATATATATATATATATATATATATATATATATATATATATATATATATATATTTGTTGCGTGATTTTCACGTGGCGAACTTCTTATATATATATTAGACCAAACCAGCAATTAATATAGAATATTATGTCATGAAAATCACGTGGCAAAGCGTTGTGACGTGAAAATAATGTAGCAACTTTGTGACGTGGATTTCACGTGGCAACTATGTGGCCACAAGAGCTCCGACCATGTGATTTTTCACGCCGCTAAATGATCGTCGTGGCGTGAAAATCAGATGGCTAATGACATTTTTTTGTAGTGCGAGATGTAGTTCTTCAAACACATTTGTATATATTGAATAACCTTAGTTGAGTTCAACCTTACTTGACCATTCACAAAAGTCTTATCAAGAAAAAATTTCCTCGGATGAGTGAAACAATATTGTTGACAGAGCATAACAAAACTTCTATAACTTAGTTTAATGAAAGGGTTTCGAAAGAGAGTAGTGCATTGAAGACAATTAAATGGATGTCACATATGCCTAAGTTTAATGTTATAACTTGAAATGCATATGAAATTACTAAATATTTATTCTATACAAAATTAAAGGATGATCATAGTACCGTGCAAAATGTGAGGTTATGGTTAAAGTTGAATCCATATACTTCTTTAGCTCGAAAGATAAGAATCATGTACTGACATTTAAAGCGTACTTTGAGGTCATTGAGGAGATTATGAAGATTGATCATGTTACTTTTAAAGTATCTTTATTTAAGTGCAAGTGGATTGACAGTAACACTAGTGTAGAAACTGATGAATTAGGATTCACATGGGTTGAACTTCAAATGACGACTTATATGAAAAAACCATTCATCATGGCATCCCAAGTAAAACAAGTTTTTTTTATGTCATTGATCCTTCTAACACAAGATGGTTAATTGTTCTACAAGGACAATATATTACTGATAATGATGAAATTCAAGATTTAAATTTTTATACCCCCTCTTTCGTAGCACATGTGCGTCTCTCATAAGAAGAAAATTATTTTGATGATGACGTGCATACTATTCTTCATGATCATCAAAAAGGAATATGAGTAAACTAGTAAATAAATGTCTTATATCACTTATTAATATATCTTTACGAAATTATCTTTTTATATTATTATACTAAAGATTTAATGTTTATGTTGTTGATGACTTAATTGATTTGAAATCTGGTTCAAATTATAGGTGTTTAACGAGCGGTGACAAACACTGAAGAGAACTTTTGAACAACCTACAAGACTTTGCATTTTGGTTATTGCTTTTATTGGTTAATCATTTGTTTTAGTTTTAATTTGTTGTAAAATTATAAGGTGTACCTGTGCCATTTTGACTTTGTAAATGGTGTAAACAATGAAAATTTTTGGTACAATGATTCTGTTTGAGAAATGGTTAAAAGCTAAAAAGTTTTTGTTTCACAAAATGGTAAAAATATGGTTCTGTAATAATGTATCTATTTCAGAAATTGACAAATAATGGTTATGTACAAGTTCAAACTAAAATATATAAAAAATTAATAAAAATGCAAAAGTTAAGGATCGAACTCATGCGAAGAACACTTTACCCCTCGGTTATTGCAAAATCGAGGGATAAAGTGAAAAGTTTTCATGACGCACTGTGTTACCTCGCCTCTGTAATTGATATTTAATCCTTTTGCGTCCACATCCTTTATTGTCACTGATTTACCTGAAAACACTATACCATTTTGAAACTTCTATATTGACCAAACCACTCCATGTCATATCATAAAACAACACCCTAATTCTAGATACCGTGATCGTATATCAATATAATAGGAAGATATAATAGGATGATGCTACGTCCCACATTCGTTAAACATAAAAATTAAAAATAGTTTATATATAGAGTATCACCCTTCACTTTATAAATCAGTTGTATAAAGATGATATTAGAAATATCCTAAAATCTCATTAGTTAAACATAAAACTTAAAAAGCCGATTTTGTAAATATAATTTAGACAAACTTTAATATTCAATTAAAAGCTGACGAGGGAGAACCAAACTAATTGTAATTGATACCTAAGAATTTGTTTAAAATATTATGTTAGCAGATCTTCAAATACCCTATTGCGTAACACGTGACATGAAAGTATGATCCTTCACTCATTTCTAAATCCATCTGTCCTCCCAAGAAAAATATCCAAAAAAAAAAAAGAAATAGTCATTTTCATTTTTATCAACCACATATGTAGTCTTTTCCTAACATCAAACTATATGACCAGTCTTTCATTTTCTTTCAGGATCATTGATTCTTAACATACTTGCAAACAACAAGAATACTAGTTACAACTTCACATGACTTCAATGGAGGAATTATGGACTAATTGGTTATGTGAAATGGTAAAGTAAAATCATTTGTCTTCATATTAACATTAATAATATTATTCTCTTTAATACTTCAAATTTTCTATATTTTTTCAGGATTCAGATGACTACAGTTTCATCAACCAATCAAGCATAAATGCAGACACTGTTAGTAGTTTTGAGAGTAACTTAGAGAGGCCTTCAAAGTTACGCAAAACAGATTCTTCATCAACTTGTTCTTATAATATTTCGTTTGAAAATGAAAATCCACCGCCAATAACAGTTGAACCAGCTTTGAAACCAAAATCCAAAACTGTGAAGAATGAATCAAAACGTGCTATTATTCAAGAGAGCAACAAGAAGAACGGTTCATTATCCAAATCTGCAACTGATCACATACCAGATCATATTATTGCTGAGAGAATAAGGAGAGAAAAGATTAGCAAACAGTTCATAGCTCTTTCAGCTCTTATTCCAAATCTAAAAAAGGTTCACTTTGGTTAATATATGCATGGAACTAATAATTTTGTGGGTATTACTCATATGATTTAGTTTATATTTTCATTATAAAATTTCTCAGATATTCTTGTCAACCAATTTTAATAGTTAGATCATTACAAATACTTAATTTTATTCATACTTGTGATTTGATCGAACACCCGTTTGTTTTTTTTTTTTTGTTTTTTTTTTTTTTTAATTAATTTTTATAGGTTTATGTAACTAAAAAAATTTATAAAAATTTCAAATTTAATTTGAATATTTATTTTTAAAATATTATTTTAATTATTTCATTATTTTATTGAAACTTTTTTTAATATTAAAATTTTAAAAAATCACTTAAAATTATTTTAAATAATTTTTTATATAAATAATTTTTGAAATATAATTTTTTTTAAATTTGTGATTTCGAATAAGTTTTGATTATAGAATATCAAAAATAGTGTTTCAATTTAAAAAAAATGAAATATAAAAAACATTTAAAATAAAAAAAAACATTTTAAAATTCATTTTTAAAAATATAAAAATAAATCTATTTTTAAAATTAAAACAAAAAGTTCTAATTTTTTCTCCATCCATCTTATAAACAAACTTTCTTTTTATTTGATTTATGTGTAGTTTTTAAGAAAATAATTAACTTTCTTGTTTTTATAATAAAATAAATATTTTTTAATAAAATATCGTTACTAATTTTCAATTAATAAATAAGGAAAGTAAATAAATAATGTATTAATAAAATTAATAAAAAATTTAAAAAATAATTATTTTGACATATTAAAATATACAAATGAAATATTTTTATGGGACACTGAACTAAAGTCTGTTTATATTATTTTATCTATTCAAATAATATTTGTAATGAGAATTTATAAAAATACCTACCGCATTGTTATGTTTACACCCAATTATTACACAGTACTTACCTATATAATTGTTTTTATTTGAACATATACCAAAGTAAGATAATAAATTATTAAAATAATAATAAGTATATAATATGGGTGTATAACTTAGTGTCATAGGATCATTTCTCAATAACCTATATAACTTTTTACAAGTTTTTCTAAAATTTTCTAAAATATCTTATTTTATTAAAATATCTTATGATAATCACTAAAGTTATAAGTTGTATTATAAGCTGCTAATGACATGCCTATATATAAAAATTAAATTTATTCTAATTATGTATACGTTTGTAGATAGACAAGGCTTCTGTTTTATGTGATGCTATTAAGTATGTGAAGGAGCTTAAGGAGCAAGTGAGAGTGTTGGAGGAACAATGCAAAAAGAAAAGTGTAGAATTAATGGTGGATGAACATATTTCTTACACATCCTCATTTAATGAAACCTCAAAAACAAATATGTTACTGCCAGAAGTTAAAACTAGGTTGTCGGGTAAGAATGTGGTGGTTCGAATCCTCTGTGAGAAAGATAAAGCAGTGATGGTGAATGTGTATAGAGAGATAGAGAAACTTCATCTTTCAGTTATCAATGCGAGTTCATTTTCCTTTGGTTCCTCTCTTCTCGCCATAACCATCATCACCAAGGTACATTTCTAATTAATTATTATTTGAGTTTAAGGATATTTTAACGTAAAATTTGTTTTACTTGTCATTAAAAATGTAGACTATCTATTATTTAAAAGAATTATATTATCTATTATTTGAATGAATGTCGTTTTTAAGATATATATATATATATATATATATATATATATATATATATATATATATATATATATATATATATATATATATATATATATATATATATATATATATATATATATATATATATATATATATATATATATATATATATATATATATATATATATATATATATATATATATATATATATATATATATATATATATATATATATATATATATATATATATATATATATATATATATATATATATATATATATATATATTCTCATTTTTAAATATATACTCTTATAAAAGTTACTTTTATAAGTAAAATTGATTATAAGCGGATGAATAGCAAAAACGCTATTCAAACTAAAAATTTACATGAATTTTTTTCGATAATCAACAAAATACTAAGGGATAAAGATTATAAATCATCCATTACAAAAAATCTATTAGGTGCTTATAAAAGTGGCACTGTGTACAAAATATATTAAATTTTATTATGACTATGTAAAATTATTTTTCAATAAAATTCAAGTATATTGCAATTTATTTTAGTTATTATTTTTACACTTCATTGATTAGGATAATAATGACTCTTTTATTACTACTACTTTAAATAGATATTAAGAAGAAACCTCTTGCTACGGAAAAAAATTAATTTAAAATAATTTTCTGTTATTTATATTATACTATATTTATGCTATACTATTATTTATCGTTTTACAAAAATGACATAATATAATTATATTTTAATCGTAACTTATGTTATTAATATATTTTATTATTTTATTATACTCTAATGTATTTTCTATCATTTATGAAAACATTTTCAAATACATGGTACAAGATTAATAAAAAAAGTTGGAGTACAATAATATTTTAATCAACTTTTTAAATTAAAATTAAGATAAATAATTTTTTTAATATGAATTAATTCTGTTAAAACACAGTTAATATGAACTATTAAAAGAACAGGAGATAGAGGGTAATAGTTATGTAATTTGTTTTTGTAGTGTGTAATATTTATTCTATCTCATAAAATTGATCTATTTATAATCAAGGAAAAGACTGTCTCACATTATGTAAAAATAAGGACATCACAAAGTAAGAATACAAATTTGAGATTGCTATATTTTATTTTTTACTTTTAAGTGTAAGATTCTGATTAATAAAATATTTGAGGAAAAAACATAATCAAATCGTAAGAATGAAGAGAATTAAATGTAAGTATGGAGTTGCATTAATTGAAGTCACCAATGACTGATCACTAGTTTGTTTGTTTGTGGAAGGTGGAGGATGAATTGAACATGAGCATGAAGAAACTGGCAAGAAACCTTAGAATTGGACTGATGCAATTGAATTAGTTTGTACTATTTGTTGTGGAATAAGATCATGAATTCAGTGATCATTGAAATAAAATTCAGAAATAATTGCGACGTGGGAAGAGGAAGTAATGTACACGAAGAATACCCTATGGACAGGTTCTGACCTTGAAGGCGAGGATATCGATGTTCAGTTATGGAAAATGGAGACGGGTCGTTTCACTATTTCCATACTGCTAAATGCAAACAAAATTTAGTTAGTATATTTTGAAATAAATATTAGTTTAGTTTTTCTTCTTCTTACTATAAATGTAGTCTATTCAATATCTCTAAATTTGTAGGGGTTCAATCAAATAACTTTTTAATATATAGTTTTAAATATCGAACTGAATCGGTCTGACGGTCGAATAGAGAATCAGAAAAATTATCGGTCTAGTTTAATTATCAGTTTGAATATACTATTGAACTAATGGAAATCGGTCAAAATCGACTAACACCCTTAAAAATCGGTGAATCGGCAATTTAAAACATGTCTTTTTTTTTCTTCTTAATAACGACACCGTTTTGATGATTTATTTATTTTAAATAAAATTAAAATATAAATAAATTTACTTGAATTTGTATTTTATATTATTTTTCATACGTGATGTCTACGTCAAGAGTTTGAATTTAAAGAATGAATTTGTGAAATTATGATATTTTGAAATTTTGTAGGTATCGTGATATTTTTTAGAGACCGAGTGGTGAGACCGATTTATTAAATATATAATTTTTTTTATAAATACTAATACTATTTTATTCAGCCGAATTATCTGATTTAATCTAGTTAGTCATACGGTTCAACCAGTAACCAAGTGGTCCGACCAATGAAACAACACCCTATTACTTTTATCGATTTAATGATTGATCCGGTTTTTAAAATATTGATAACATATGTTGCAAATGATGAGATATGTTGAAACCATAAATTAAAATGTTATTAAAAAATCAAAATAATTAATCTATTATTGGAATAAAAACCTATATTTGATTTTAACTACATTAGTAATAGAAGTGTGTCGAATTGGGCTGATGGTAAAGTCTCATAGTAGAGTAATAGTTGGTTGACTGTGGGTGAAAATAAAGGATGGTGTTTGGCGGATTTGGATCCTCTCCTTTTTTATATATCATGTCATCTCTCATGTTTCTAATATAACGGTTCAGAATTTATAATGAATAATTAAATAAAAAAAGTCATTTAATAGAAACATAACAAAGACAAATTACTTATCCATTTCTCTTTCCTATTAAATAATTTTTTTATTTAATTATTCATTATAAATTCTGAACTGTTAGATTAAAAACATGAGAGATGACATGATATATAAAAAAGGAGAGGATCAAAATCCGTGTTTGACATATTGATCAAAATTTCGAATTCTTTGTAAATATCAGTATAATTGCTCTATAATCTAAAATAAGTTGTTGATGGATTGTTTCTTTGGTTGGGATATCCATGATACTCTATGGAATAAAATTTGGCTTATAAAAAAGATAATGGATGGTGTTGAAAATTTGCATAAATAGGTTCCATTGTTTTAAGTTATTTTATTTCTAATATTAGGTAATTTTACCCGACACACCTTAAATTATTATACATGACACTCAAGATAGTTTTATAATACTAAAATTTATTATTTTTTTTTGAACTGACATATTAAAAAATAAATTCTCAGGTATAAAATATTTGACAGTTCATAAAAAAATTCAATATGCATTTTTATCAATATTTTTACAAAATCTAGTGCCTATAAAAATTTTATCATTTATTTTTTAAAAGCTTTTGGTATATTAAATATTTTCTCACCTTTTAAAATTTTGGTAGGATTAATTTTAAATAGTTGAGATTTTGCCACACTTTTGTAGGGTTGTAATTGTATGTCAATAATGATTTAAAACTTGTATAAATATGTTTTATATGTTACAAACAAAAACACCTCACAATGTCTCAATTTTGATATCACGTATTTGTGTATTTCAACGACATGAAACCTCCTGTTAATTTTAGGTTGAGGTGGATGCGGTTGTTTCAAGATCTGTCTATAATATTATCAAGGTGTTGAAACATCCTAAATCATCTAGTATTGTTTAAGTTTTATTCTTGTTATTTTCTTGTTAAATTGTGTTATGCAATGTTCATGTTAAGTCATGTTCATCCTGCAATAATGTAATGCTAATTTTCATCTAATACAATGTTAAGATAAAATGTAAATAATAATCAAATAATTAATTACAAACTCAAAATAATGTCAGCGACAATAATCAATGAACAAACTAATAAAATCCAAGTCAAGCTACCACTAAAAAAATGTGTTATATGAGATAACCATGCATAGATCTCAACATTTTGGTTTACCATACCCATGAGGTTATCTGAAAGAATTTCCACCATATGCAATCGCTACTAGCCAGTCACACTAGGTGGAGGCGGTGGATGTGATGACACATCATCTAAAAGACCTTCATCATATGAAGGTCTATCATCACCTGCATGCTGAACATGTTGGACGATGTGTGGGTGCGATACCCTAAATATCACTCTACATAACCACCCAAACACTTCAAAGGGAAAAGCACCTCCACAACATTCTATCTATTAACAATGACATTGCTGACAATGTTATGTTGGACATGTGACTCCATACACAAAAGGAGGGTTGAATTATGGAGGCTTAAATATCGTAGATATAAAAAAAAATTATTTTCTAAATCAGAGTTTGAAAATATTTTATAAAACACTTTAATACATAAGCAATATAAATTTAGAGTAAAACAATTAAATGGAAAATAAAAGATATAAGGGATGAGAGATGACACCAGAAATTTATAAAGGTTCGGTCTAACCAAGTTACTTAATCATCTCCCCATGAATTGATCTTAAGAGTATCCAATATTGCTTGATATCTTTTTGAAGGTTAAGCCCACAAACCCCCTTATGCAAGAAATACTCTCAACCATAACAATATCCCTTAGTGAGACTCAAGAATGCTCTCAAAGCACCATGGCTTAAATATGTGAGAATAATAAGAATAATTTAGATAGATGATCGATTTTGGCCGCCTAAGATGGAAGATTTAGATATATAGTTGTTATTAATCTTTAATAAACTATCATAATCAATTATAAAATCGATTAGGTATCATCTAATTGATTAGATATGACAAAACAATGTCGTAAATTCTCTTTTGGTAATTTTTTGATACGAGAGTTGATTACGAACAACTAGATATATAAATTTATTATAGAATTGTCATCTCAACCTAATAAGAGGTTAGTTGATAATCATAGATCATGAGTGTTGAGATCATCCTCAACAAAAAGAGCTTTGATAATATTCATTAAAATACACCACCAACGAACATTCTTGTATCATAAGCATCAAATTCCATCTGCCACACATGTTATATTCAAATGTATACATTTACCTTTGCACAACTTCATTTGATATGCATTAAGGCTTTATTTATAGTTGCAAAGTATTCTGACAAAAACACACTATGTTTTCATCTTTGGTACCCAAATATTCTTGGTTCTTGGTGTATTGGTTCTAAGAGGAATACGGTTACTACCCTAAGACTTTATTAGCTTATCAAAGTAAAATGTCTCCAAGTGGCCAAATTTATCACAGTAAGATCATTTGTAAATAGTGGAATTAACTTGATTCCTATTAAATTCTTTATTATATGATCTATCAAATTTAAATCCTAATCCAATTTTGTTCAAGGAAGGCCCTTGATTTGATATAATAAAATATAGTTTGTCTTTTTCCTTAGTAAGTTTACTTAGGGTTTCATGCATATCTTTCACTTCCTTTTTCACTAAGACACAAGTCTCACAATTACTAGCTTGATTTCTAATATTATCCATTTCATATTTTAGCATTTCATTACTCTTTTCTAGAAACTCAAGATAGTCCTTACGATCTAACTTACACTTTTTAATCTTATTGTTTTATTATATTAACTTAGCACTTAATTTAAATAGTTGCTTAAATGATAACTTTGTTACCTCACAGTCATCTTCTTCATGAGAAGGTTTCAAAAAAAATTCATCTTCTTCGTTTGGAAAAATATTTGTGTAGATTTTTCCAGAGGTTAATTCTTTGACGTAGTTCGTTGAGAATACTTTATCATTTCTTCTTTTGAAGATTCAACAAGATAAAATTTCTTCTTCTTTATATTCTTTTATTGATGAATTTCTCTGTTGTACATTGAGTCTTCAAAGGATCGTTCAACCTTGAGATTGTTCTCTCAAAGGATACAGTTGGAGTTGATTTTTCTTCTTATTCAAAATAAATCTTCGATGAAGTTGATAAAAATTCTTTTAGATTTGAGCTCATTCGTTCATACTTTAACAGTTTACTCAACTCATTCACCTTTTCGATAATTTCTTCCTTCTTGGGTTTTACCTAAAAATTGTAAGCATTTCCATCTCTCAATTTAAGGATTGGATATGTTCTTTGATTCGTGTTCTCAATTCTTATATATTTGTTAGTGACAAAGGTTCTAGCATAGCTCCAAGATTTCTAAAGTTTGAAACAAATTTATGGAATAAGCATTCTTCTTTGCTTCGTGTGTTTATTTCCTTTTGTTTGATACTTAGAGATACTCCAAAGTTCATTTCATGAGTATCCCACATTTACTTAGAAGTATTACAATTAAGGACGTGGAAAAATTGATTTTCATTTAAACAAATAACAAAATTGTTTTTAGTTTTGAAATCAATTTCTAAATTTATCTTTTCTTCCATGGTCCAAAGAAAATTAGGTTTATGTATTACTTCATCATTTATGTAATGAGTAGGAAAAATAGTGTTTATTATTGTTTTCCACAATTCAAGATCAAATTTTGAATAAATATTTTAAATCTATATTTCCACATCTCAAATCTATCACACTTAAATGGTGAAGTGTATTTAGGAAAATCCTCTTGTTAAAAACAATGTTGGAAAACATCTTCCTTATAAGACTATTAGTCCTTAAATAAGAGTTAATCTCTGATACC